GGGGGGAGGTTATACAACTTATATTCGAATACAAAATATGACGCATATGCGTATTATTCAAATAGAACGTATATGTGTTATATTTGAAGTGCCCTTGTATTCGAAGAAAAGGGTCTAACTTTCCAAAAACCCGTTTTTTTGGAAAACTTGAATACATCGCATATGCGTTATGTTCGGGGGAAGACGGTAGCCAAAAGAAAAGAAATTAAACCATTAGTACCTTTGGCGTACGGTTTCAACAAGTTCTTGCCAGCTCCCGAACTTTCAGGAGGCCGAGCCCGACGTTAATCAATCTGATCGGCGGCCGTCGTTTTGTTTCGGCCTCCTGAAAGGTCGGAGGCCGAGTATTTTCGAACCAACAAAGGTACAAGTGGTTTAAAGTGTCACACTTTCCACATGGCGGAATCTGCCTCGGCAAAGCTTTGAGCGCTGGCGGAATCCGCCTCGGCAAAGCTTGGAGCGTCGGTGTATCGGCAAAGCTTGGAGCGCTGGCGGAATCCACCTCGGCACAAGTAGGCTGGGATGTACTGCTGGTGGTTTAATTCAGTGCCACACTTCTTAGATGAAGAGACTGGTTTAGTGGGAGTTTAGCTGAGAGAGTAGTAATTGGAATTGAAAGGCATACTGTCGACAGCAGAGCAGACCACACAAGAGGAGGGAAGAAAGAAAGGGGGAGGGAGGGAGGGAGGGAGGGGGAAGGAGAAGAGAGAGAGAGAAGATTGCAAGAGAGAGAGAGAGAGGATTGCAAGAACAAAAAACAAAAATGGAGTGCAGAAGGTACAGCAGTCACAGGGAAGCATGTACAGCCGCGAACGAGGAATTACCTCCTTTTTCTCCAATGCCTGCTTGATTCCAGGAGCCTCATTCTTCTTGGTGGCTGTTCCCGGAACAAACGGACAGCAGGGCAAAACAAAACCAGGTCAATGCCTTAAAATTTGAAAAGCTAGAAAAGGTGCGAATGGTGCACAGACGGCTGCAGGGCTTTGGCTTTTGGTTTAGGAAATTAGGACATAAAAGGTGATAAAACAGTTAGCAAAGGGCAAAAAACAAAAAACTTGCAGTTTGGATGTGATTAGTCTTTTTTTTTTTTTTTTTTTTGTATTTGTAAGCATGGTTGCATCCCTGCCGACCGCCGACCGTAGTGCAGCCGACCAGTAGGGCCGACCGGTCGGCAGTCTGCCGACCAGTCAGAAAACAACCATCCACTAAACTTTTTTCAGATCTGAGTTGGAAGCTGTACTGCGCTTGCTGAGTACAGCCCAAATCCGCTGAGAATTATTTGTGGATGGGGTGTATAGCGGGATATAGGGGGTATAGGGGTGGTATAGGGGCTGTCTCTTATACACATCTAGATGTGTATAAGAGACAGAGGTGATTTGGGGGTTGGTATGGGGGTGTTCGTGGGGTTATTAGGGGCTCTACGGAGTGCTGACGACCCCCGACCAGCCGACCGGTCGGCGGGTCGGCAGCCGACCAGCCGACCGGTCGGCGGGTCGGCAGCCGACCAGTCAAGGGTCGCCGACGGTCGGGGTGTGCAACACTGTTTGTAAGACATAATAAAATAACCTGTGCTGTTATCCAGGCAGCCTGGGCTGGCTATGGAAGTCCGGGTACCCAGACAGGCGGGTGTGGAGGCAGCATCCTGGGCAGTCCCAGCGAAAACTATTTAAAAAGATAAGCAAAATAAACATCCAGGACAAAAAAAAAAACTCTTGTGCTAGGGTCACCTTGAAATTCCTCAATAATTTCGAGATAAAAAAATTAAAAACATTATATCCAGAGCAAAATAAATACCCAGAAAGGCCTTCCACGATTCAGACCCCAAATTCGGATCTCAGGGTCAGATGCCCAAGTCAAGAAAAGGCCGAGTTTGTCAAACTCAGAAAAGACACAATCGGGTACCTCAGCAGTCTGGTCCAACAGGCACCCAGCAAACAGTCACGTCTCACGAACAAAAGTTATGTCTCAAAACAAAAGCCATTCAGAAGAGTCACATCCCACGAGTGAAAAGGCAGATTCACTAAGCAAGAGGCATGTCTCAAAGGCAGGAGTCACGTTTCCTAATGAAAAGTCATATTGAAGAGTCACATCCCACAAGTAAAAGGCAGTACCACAGGCAAAAGTCGTGACCCACAGGCAGGAGTCACTGTCCACAGCCAAAAGTCAGATTCACTAGTGAAAAGTCATGACTCAAAGGCCCAAGCAGCAGCAGTCCAATGGAAATTCGGGAAGGTTCCAGGCCTTGACATTCAGAAGCAGACAGGCCGTTGGGATGTGGTACCGGAACCAGTCAGGACCCAAGAAACAAAGGGTGGCACGAGTTGAAGTGCAAACCAAGACTACAAAAGGACTGGCCAGCCTCACATTCGGGCAGATTGCTCATTCGCAAAGAGTGTGGAAGTGCTGGTGCACTTGTGCGCTAATGTGAGGGGCAGAGCGCTGAGTCCAGACTGCTGCGCTAAGTGAGGGAGGGAGGAGAACATTGCGCTGGCAGGGAGAAGGGAACCATAGCTGCACCAGTGCAGAAGTGTTAGTGCTAGTTGTTAGTAGTACACTCCAGAGGGGTTAGTAGAGTTGACAGTGGGTGTATTCAGAATAGATCCATGAAGTAGTAGATAGTGAGTGTGAATGCATGTAGGGAGAGAAGACACAGCGAGGTCATAGCTAGGGAGAAGACCAGCAAGGTGGAGAGATACATAAGAGGGACGAGCAGAGGGGAAGAGATACTTACCTGAGAGTTTATGTTGATTATTGGTTACCTATTGGCACGTGCTGATGAGCGCTGGTGACTTTGAACTCTTATTGCTCTTGTAATACTTTCTGGAAGAGATGAGCTGCGCTACCTGGTCTTCATCTCTCTGGTCTCCAGTGTGAATTTCGTGTGAACTCATACATGCATGTGGTGCGAATATGTGCACTCATTGGTGTTGAACTATGAGGTTCGTTGCAAGTTCGGATGTGATTAGTCTTTTTTATTTTTTTTTTGTATTTGTAAGACATAATAAAATAACCTGTGCTGTTATCCAGGCAGCCTGGGCTGGCTCTGGCAGCCCGGGTACCCAGACAGGTGGGGGTGGAGGCAGCATCCTGGTCAGTCTAAGCGAAAACTATTTAAAAAGATAAGCAAAATAAATATCCAGAACAAAAAAAAAAACTCGTGTTAGGGTCACCTTGAAATTCCTCAATAATTTTGAGATAAAAAATTAAAAATATTATAGACTCGAGAGTTAAGACGACCAACACACTGCCTTTGAGCCAAAGGACTGAGCACCAAGCTTTGCCAAAGCACCAGCGCAATGTTTTAGAAAAAAAGCATTCTTAGGCTGGCGCCGCAAGCCGTTTTCGTCCAGTCAAACTGGTCACCAGAAAATGCAGTTTGTAGCAAGTTGGTGTTCATCAGTTTGCCTGTGAAAGGTAGTGGTGGTTTAAGATAGAGGCTGATATACCACCACCCCTTTGAACACATTTAACACCTGTCTATAGTAACTCTGCACCCCCTCAAACGCGCACCCGGCCACACGAAATCCTGACCTGAAGTCAGACTTCGTTTTGTTTTTTTTTTGAATTTGCAGCTCTTTTTTTTTCCCGCCCGGCTTTCCCAGGTGGGCAAACAGCATAGTACAGAACACGAAAAGTGCTAAGATAGTAACTCGAAACTTTAAGAGTCGATTAGACCTCATTTTGCAATTCCTCCTTCGCTATGTGCGTCGTAACTGTACACGGGTGTTGTAATTGTACAAGCAATTGGATGTCACAAAGGGCACTGTACACATTGATCAGTGATGAAAAAAAGGACCGAAACGGCGAAACAAACGCCAAATTGTGTGCAATTATGGAAAGCCGAATTAGGGCATACACCGTTCGGCTTTCATAAACGTATCTGACCAAAAGCTACGACCAGTTTTTTCAGTCACGGAAGTCCAAGCCCAAGTACGACACCCTTAGAAGAACACCGCCCTATCCACTATTCCTTTGTTTTGCTTGTCATACAAAGCGTGCGCGCAGAAGAGGGCAGAGAATCAAACCTCTACCAGTGTTTCAGACAAAGAGGGCAGAAGAGTTCAAGAGAACTGTCTTGAAGCAAACTTTACAGAAGCAACTTTGACTTAGGCCATCGCCACACCGCTCCCGGAATGTGAAAATGACAAAACCTGTGGCGGGAGAACCTTCCTTTGTTTTTGAGGAAGATATATGCCACGTTTTGCACATTCAGGGAGTGGTGTGGTGAGGCCCTGATACATGCCATATACGTAATACGGCTCCCTAAGAACAAAGCTGGCATAGCTCAGTTGGTTAGAGCACCCGTTTAGTAATAGACTAACAAGCGGGAGGTCCTGAGTTCAAATCTCAGTGTCAGCAATGACGAGGATCCTAGAACTGATAAAACTTGCAGGCAACGCAGAATGCTGTGGACTACACTTTTTATTTCTGTGAGGAAGCCCTAACACCCTACAGTGCCACAATGTCACTGGCAGCAATGTACACACAAGGACTTTCTTGAATGAACCTGTGCCTGTAATTGGCATCCAATTCAGTCGATGAAATCCTGGTGTGATACCTTTTGTTTCTGTGAGGAAGCACTAACACCCTACAGGGCCACAATCTCACTGGCAGCAATGTACACACAAGGATTTTCTTGAATGAACCTGCCTGTCATTGGCATCCAATTCAGTCTGGTGTGATACCTTTTGTTTCTGTGAGGAAGCCGTAACACCCTACAGGGCAACAATCTTAGTGGTACACACAAGGATTTTCTTGAATGAACCTGCCTGCAATTGGCATCGGATTCAGTCAATGAAGTCCTACTGTAGTGTGAGTATGCCGTTAGAAAGCCCTGAGAGGCCCCACTCAGAGCCTCAGTCTAAGTGGCAGCAACATTTCAGGCTGAAAAACTTAGGGCATACCCATACTGGGACTTTCTCCGATGAATCTGCGCCTGTCATTGCCATGTGATTCGGTCGAGAAACTCCTGCCGTCTTCACCCGGATAGAGCGCCCCGTCATTATCGCTGCTTCTGGACTGAAAGTTGCCCCAAATACAGCTATAACTACTGGGCGCCCTATTTGGGTGAAGTCGGCAGTGTGTCCCTGCCCTAGAAAGCCCTACGACTTTCTACGTCAGACAACATTTCGGCTTGTGACAGTTAGGAGCATACTCGCACTTCGACTTTCTCCAATGAATCTGCCAGTAATTGACACTGGATTCACTCGAGGTGGTCCCCTAGTGTGACTATGCCCTTCATTTTCACCAACTCGTCAGGAGGTTGTGTGTGTGTGTGTGTGTGTGTGTGTGTGTGTGTGTGTTGTATTTGGTGAACACGACTCCCACAGAAAAAGGATGGTTGTGACAGACTGATTTGGTGGACTTTCAGCAACTCATCAGGATGTTCAGTGTGTATGGGAACTCATCAGGATGTTGAGTGTGTATGCACTGTCTCTTATACACATCTAGATGTGTATAAGACAACAGAAAAAGGATGGTTGTGACAGACTGATTTGGTGGACTTTCAGCAACTCATCAGGATGTTCAGTGTGTATGGGAACTCATCAGGATGTTGAGTGTGTATGCACGTGCGTCCTGTTGGGCGGTGTGGGTTGGAGGACGGCCAACCATACCCTGGTGCAGCTGGTATAGTGTTAGTTCTCTTGTTTCTTACCAGCCATTCTGCAGCGAGGAGGAAGAAAGAGGGTGGTGGACGGGGGGAGGGAAGGTGGGAGGGAAGGTGGGAGGGAAGGTGGGAGGGAAGGTGGGGGAGAGGGCGGGGGGGGAGGTGTGGGGAAGGTGGGGGAAAGGTAAGAGGTAGGGAATTGCCAATATTTTCGTACCGCCTGTTGAGCATCCTAATGAGCCAACTGAAGCCTGGTGCAACTGGTATACTTAGTTGTCTTGTTTCCTACCCGCCAAAGGAGGAAGAAAAAGGACGTTGGCTCGGGGAGGGAAGGGAAGGGAGAAAAGATAAAGGGAGGGATTGGGAGATGGTTTTCATACCCAATGAGCTGTCAATAAGGCAGTTGACCATGTTCTGAAGTGAAAGCCAAAGTCTGATGCAACTGGAAATGTTCTCTTGGTCCTTGCCAGCCATTGAATGAATATGTTGGTTTGCACTGATTATAGACATGAGCGCTGCATTCTGTGGGTGCTCAAATACCTGCCAAGTAGTCATTCAGAGACACACAGACAAACAGCAGGAAAAAGAAAAGAAAAGATTGGATCCATGAGTCGCACGGAATGAGCCACCCTTTTTTTGATGCTGCTGAACTGTTGAAATACAGACCCGACTCACCCGACTTGGAATCCAGCTGCAATCAGATGGTGAAAAAAGAAAAATGATCGGATCCGTGAGTCACAGCTGGATTCAAACACTTTTGTATTTTCTTTGTCTTCTTTTACCAAGGGGGCTCTTGACACACCACTGTCGAAAACGCGACTTTCGATAGTTTCTCTCTTGGCCACACAGCCTGTCAAAATTGGAGACGGAAAGAAAATTCGCAAGTACGTTGTCAGAGAGAAAATGCTTCTCGACAACCCCTTTCGAAACGTGTTGAATCCCCCCAGCCTCCTGCTACTCCGATGCGTTCAACAGTCTTCGGCTGCAACATCGACCTCTCCTCGAAATTTGGTGAGCGGGCGTGAGGTCGGGATGGAAGGACTAATGGGTATCGTACCCTCAGGCGCGTTCGTCTTTTTCCATCTTGCATTCACAACTGCATCGATTCTACAGTGCTGTGTGGCTAAAGGGGGGGCAAACTGTCGAAGGGAGGCTGTTGAATTCATCCTGACAGCCGTCGGATTTTTTTACCTTTCGACAGTGGTGTGGCGAGCCTCTAAGAAGCGTCTGCAAGGCCTTTCAGTAAAGAAGACAAAGAAAAGAAGATGCTGGGAGCCTCTAGAACTTTGTCTGAAAAGCCACAGCCACAGACCAACCAATGCGCACTAGAATTGTATGCCACGCCATGCCACTACACCATCTCGCCAAGGTCAAAATGATCCCATCAGGATTTGAACTCCCGATCATCTGTTTCTCATCTTGGCACTACGTGTTTATCCAGGGGATGGGAATGAACGTCAAGAATATGTATCGAGTTTGTCGTTGCCTTTACCTGAATCCCATCATCACTTACCAAATCGCTCATCTTTTCTGAGATTGTGAAACCAGAAAAAAAGGGGATAGCTGGGTAGAGCCCCCAATACGATTGCATGACTTTGTATCCACCTGATTCCATCAGGATACGAACTCGAGATCATCTGTTTACACACAGTTACATGCATGTCCCGTTCGGTCACACAGGCAGTGTCACTTACCGATTCATTCAAGTACGACGGAGGGCGAAAACGATTCGGTGGCACCAGAATCGCCTCTAGGAAGAACATTGAGTGGTCACTGGTCTTAGTTCCTCGCGGAGTGTACACCGGCCTGCCATGGCAGCAATGTTCACAAAAAGACAAAATAAATCCAAAAGACAGGAAAGCAGAACACAGTACAAAATATGTCAGACTTTGAAGTTTTGTATAATCCATACAGAAACAGTCGCCTCTGTCAAAGGAGGGGGAAGGAGGGCGGGGGGGGAGGAGGCGATGGAATTGACTCGGTCACTCGTTCAATCTATAACACATCGTTATCTGGACTGAGTACAGCCCTGTCTCTACTACCTACCACCATTGCCTGAATACAACAGACCCTGATAATGCCTGTATATAACCTATCTTTCAAGCCCCATACAGTCCTGATGAGAATGTGTCGTATACGGGTGACAACAGTAGTCATCGTCAACGATCTCTTCTCAAGCAGGTTAGATGCACAGAAATTTAGCAAAACTTTTTTTTTCCTGAAGAAACATCGATGTGGAAAGCCTCAGTTCCAAGGGTGATAAAAACACATCCCAAATTTGAGCGCCACCCCCCCCCCCCCGCCATGGACGGCTATTTTGGGTCCTTTCTATTGGTGGGGAGCTGCACCTGCTGGAAACGAGCCTAGGTGCTTGTCTGCGTGGTCTCCATGGGAGAGTAGTGC